CTCTCCCTCGGTACCTGTGTTCCAAGATGAGCGACCTCGTCGCATTGGGATCTTTCTGGACTACGAAGCAGGAGAACTCTCCTTCTACAACATCACAAATGGGTCTTATATCTACACGTTCAGCCATCTCTTCTCTGGCATTCTCAAACCCTACTTTTTTGTCTGTGACACGACTCCTCTTATCTTACCTCCCATGACAGAAGCAGGGTCTGGAAACTGGACTCCCAGGGGTCTCCTTGATCTCGCTGCTGCTGTTAGAAGCGAGGAGTACTAAAACCATCCAGAAGTGCTATGCTTCACAGGAGTCCCGGATGGATGGGGAACATGGCTGTGCCCTGCTTCAACGAACCACAGCAACACCATCTCTGCAGGCTTGTTCTGTGGAAATTCTCCAGTGGGGACTACGGAGTGGATCCAGGGTGGTTTACATACTGAGGAACTATGTGGAGTGAGTGACTTTGAAAGGACATCAGGCTCATCAAACCCTGTTGCCAGAGATCTCGTCTTTCCTTGGAGCATGTTCACAGTAATAAGCTAGAATTAAATGAGATTGCCCGTTCATCCTCAACAGTCCAAATATTAGGATTTAGGAATAACAATTCTACTTGATTCTGTTTGCTTTATTTTTTGAGACACAGTCTTCCTGTATAGCCACGGCTGTTCCCAAACTCTTGCCTCAGTGTCTTGGGCGCAGGTGTGCACCATAATGCTTGGGTGAGAAATGAGATTGCTTTAAAAATAACTGGATATTATTCTAGTGAGACCCATAATTCTGAAACTTTTTTATTTTTCTTTCCTGATTACATTCTCCCTCTTTTGCTTTATGTCTCATCCTGCTTAGTCTTACAGTTCCTTCTAGATTAATATATTCATTAATAGAATTATTCCTTTGTAGCCTTGTATTTCCTAGTACCATAGTAGATTACTTTCTATCTTATTTTCTGTTATTTATTTATTTATTTATTTATTTATTTATTTATTGTCCTTTGAGACAGGGGTTCTCTGTGTAATTGCCCTGGTTGTTCTGGAACTCACTTTGTAGACCAAGCTGTCCTAGAACTCACAGAGATCTGCCCGCTTCTGCCTCCCGAGTGCTGGGATTAAAGGCATGCACCACCACTGTTCTGCGTTTTCTTTTAAAAAGATTTTATTTTTCTGTGTATATGTGTGTAAGTCTGTGCATGTGTATGCTACATCAATGCAAGCGCCAGCAAAGGCCAGAAGAGGGTGTCAGATCCCTGCAGCTGGAATTACAGGCAGTTGTGAGCTGCCCCCGCATGGGTGCTGGGGACTGAACTCCATGCCTCTGGAGCAGAAAGCCGTTTTAATCACGGAGCCATCTTTCCAGTCCCTGGCCCCTTCATTTGGAACCTGTTCTCAACTATTTTGAAGTTCATTACTCTAAATGCAATATCACGGATTCCTAAACCTCCCCCTTTGTCTTTGGATTTGTTGTTTATTTTAAATGCTTTTTGAAGATGTACTTATTTTACATGTATGGATGTGTTGCTCCCATGTATGCTTGTGTAACATGTGTGTGTACAATGCCCAAGGAGGTCAGGAGAGGCATTCAGATTTTGAACTGGAGTTATGAACAGTGGCAAGCCAAAGAACCAACCCAGGTCCTCTGTAACAGTAATGGAAGCCATGCTCTGACATTTGTGAGGGGGGCATGCCTGTTATCCTAGTATCAGGGAGGCAGAGGCAGGACTTTGAGGCTAGTGTGGGCTCCATAGCAAGATCCTACCTCAACAACAACAACAACAACAACAAAAAGTTAGAGAATGTAGCTTAGTTGTTAAGCACTTGGCTGACTTGTTTAACATCCTGAACCCAATACTCAAAACCTAAACAGGTAGGCATTTCTCAGAAGTTTAGATTTTTTTTTTCTTTTGGGATCTACTAATGACTAGGTTACTGGCTTGAAAGCTGACTTTCCATTCAAGCTCCATCACTCACAGTGACAAATCTCAGAAAGGAAACAGCATGTGCTTACTTTGTGCTTGCCTTCTGCCTCTTCACCTGATTGATATTGGTTCTTAAGACCTCAGTCAGATAATAATCCTTCCCACCCAAACTCAGCTTCTGGATATGATCCTATGCAGGAAGCACTGATGACACCCTCGTGGTGTAATGGAGACTTCTGAGGTTATCATTGGTGAGTGGCCAGAGTTTAACTCTTATTTAAATACTATGTAAGGATGGTGATGAAATGCTCATGATATGTAACTTATTTTTCAAGTATATTCTATGTCTTTCTAACAAAACCCTGAAAGGCCATTGAAGGCTCCCCTACTCTCTCTCCTCTCTGCATGGTAAATAAGTGTTAAAGTGTCATGTTCTGAAATGCCAGCCCTATAAGAATTATTGGCAAATTCAGTTATCTTTATAATACTCCACCAAAAACTTCATTTTCCTCTTCAACTTTAAATTTCAAGATGTTTTCCTTTTGCATGGATATTTTATGGCCCACATTATTACATCTAATCACGTAACTGACACAGCTTTCTAGTTTGTTAAAAACTGGTCATATGCAGAAAATTCTCTGCTCTGTCTCTCATTTACAGCTAGGAAATGACAAGTCTTCACCATGCCCCAGTATATAGGTCACAGACCATACAAGCCATCTTAGGGCACGATACGGGTAGAACAAAGGGGCTTTAGCTTACCAATAGAGCCTGATCAATGGACCAATGATTGGCCTGAGGTGACATCTCCCATGGGATCTCTAACACAGGGACATGGAAACTATCTTGTTTGGACTGAGATAATAGATGCATCTGAGTCCCAGGACCACCCTTCCTGCTATGGAGACCTTAATTCCTGTCTCTGGAGTGTCTCTGAGTTTCTCCATCTCACAGTGCCTCCTAGCAAGATGTCAATCACCAACCTAGCATGAGCCATTGCAGACTTCATCCTCTGTATTCTAAGATTTCAAATCTTGCATCTCCTGCTTTGATCCTTCTCCTTGACTTTCCAATCCTGAATTGTTCTCAACATCCTTTCTGGATTTCTAGCCTCCTTGGCTGTAAAACCCTCCTGTTTCCCTACCTTCCCTACCCTTTTCCCCAAACAATACATTTTTATATATAACTGTTGGCTTGAACTGTACAGGCCTTTAAAATCCAGCCAGTCTAAAACTTAGCCTCAGACCCTACCACAGTACAATCTCCCTCTAATTAACAACAGAAAAAAAGTCTCATATCTGATGCATGGCAGCATCCTTCCTTCAGTTGCTCAGACCAAGCAACGCCTTTATTGTGTTCTTGACCCCACTGTCCACCTCTGGTCCCTCAGCAGGGACAGTGTGCTCTGCTTTCTAAAGGGCTAAGAGTCCAGCCCGTCTTGATCTCTAGCTGCTGAGATCTTAGCCTGCACTGTTACTCCCTCCCCTCTGCATCACTGTACCCATCCATCTCTCTACAGTTTCCCAGCTGGCCCTTCCCTTGCTCACATTCCTCTTCAGCACATCCTCTCAGGCCCCAGACAGCCATGCCACTACACTGACCCTCTCAGTAGGGTAGGAGTCTAGTGAAAACTTCACTCTTCGTGGTGAGCTCTTGGGCCCTCAAAGACCTGAGCCTGATCCTGATCCCTCCTCCAGTTCCGTCTTCCTCCCTCACCTCCCTTTTCATTCTGCTTTAGCTACCTTGCCTCCATGGTGGATCTACATCAAACCAAGTACTTCCCATCACAGGACTTCTCCCAGCTGTGATTTCTGCTTGTAACTCTCCTTTCCTGGTACCTCTTCATCTGTTTCCTTCTCTCTGATAAACCCACGAAAAGGCTTCTCACTGAAGACCTCCTCTTTCCACACCCCAAAAACACACCTTCCCAGTTCTGCTTCACCGGGCTCATAAGACTTGCTTACCCCATATAGTATATATCAGTGCTCAGTACCCCTGAAGTCTTATTTATGAAGTTTTATTTAATTACTAATTTATTTGTTCTTTGTGGTATGACGTGAGCATCATGAAGAGAACTGGATATTTATTAATGACAATATATTCCTAAGCATATCCCAAGATCTCAAACACTGGTTGGGTGTGGTTATAGCTGAATGCATTATTTGTTCAATAAGTAAATGATTAATCTGGAAAGAGAATTAAATGATGCACCTAGAAATGTTTTACAAAATGCAATATACATATACTATTTGTAAACAGTCAACCAACATCCAATAAAGGATAATGCCAGGTGCTAAATTGTCAAGTCTATTTTAGATCCAGGAAAAAAAAATCTAATTAGAAAGCCACCTTGGGAGAAGCACAAGATTCCAGTGACAGGGTAATGCTGCATTTCCAGGTAGGCTTTCGCTGAGCCTGCTGGAGTTTTGGGTCCTTGCAACGTTACAGTGACACTATTGTGTATTGCCTCAGGATCTATAGGCCATGTGTCAGATGTTATACTGATTTGGAATGCTGAGAGGCTCCTAGGAACTTAGATTAAACATTTCTATAAAGAATTTGACACCTGGAGCAAGGAGATGGCTCTGTGGTTAAGTTGTCTTGAAAGTGTGAGGGCAGGAGTTTGGAGTCCTAGAACCCAGGTAGACACCCTCATGGTGTATGGGCCTCTCTTCTGAGCTGTATGACAGGACATTCCCTTGTGTGATGTCTGGTCTCTGCTGTCCTCCCCATCATATTTATCCTACTGTGCATCCCTCTTAGTACAAACTGTACCTTTTCTAGTCTGCAATATTATCATTTTCCACTTTCCCTTACTTCCTTCACTCTGCTCTGACAATTAGGAAACTCTCTCCTCTATAGAGAATTATTAAGTCAACCCCCAACATTAGATTCACTTGTCCTAATCTATAAATCTCAAGTTGCATCTGTAAATTCATACCTATATTTCCAGCAGACTAGATGAGTTCGTTACAGAAGTAATTTCATGAATATTTCCCTTTTCTTTTGTCCCACTCTCCTAAATAAAATCACTCATTTAATACATGAATTACCTAAGTAGACCAGTTTTCTCAGCATACTAAAAAGATCCAGAATCAGGAATACTAGAGGAAGACAATATATGGCATTGGCCCTACCCACTAGCCCAACTTTGAGTGGCAGCTCCTACTCCCAGCATCCCACAGGGCAGAGAAAGTGAAGGCAGTAGAAAATTTGTTAAACTTCTCCTCTCTCTCATCATTGGTCCCTCAGTTTGTGGCTGGTGGCCTTCTGTCACTATTTTACCATACACAGAGGAGAAAAGGGTGCAGCCAGCCAGCATCTGTACAAATACTCACCCAGGGACCCACAATGTACACAGCAGCTG